AATATATATATATATATATATATATATATATATATATATATATATTATAAATTATAAATTAGATACTATATTAGATATATAGAATAATATTATATACATCTAATTACATATAATTTCCAAATAATTCTTGTCACCTTATCCCGTATATAATCTGCAGTTAATCACTAAATTGGTTTATCTGGATCTACGTAAGTGCATCCCATGCAAATGGGACTACCGAGAACGGTGTACCAACTAAACGAGCAAAAGTCTCTCCGGAACTTTTTTTATTATTGTTTTGGTCATTGACCAATAAAACCTTTCCAGTTCAGTCCACAATGGCCACATTAGTTTTATCAAGTTCTCCTGGAAGTTCGACTGGGATCAGCTTAAAAAAGAGGAAAGACTACGTAAACTTTTTCCACCGCCCAATAAAAAGGGAAGGGTACCGTTTCCAGTTCAAAGGGCTCCGAAGAAGGTCACTGTGTTCGACCCGCCGCCGGCGGGTACGCCGGGTAGGCATATCGAGTGAGTTAGACCCGTGGGCGGCCTACATACCGGGGCGGAGCGTGTGTTTACCAATTTCTGGTTCGCGAGTTTACCTCCGCGGGACTTTTTTCATTACAGAAAGTGTGTCGCTGAAAAAGTATAGCCCAGCCCGGGCCGGCGTGCGCACGCACTGCTTGCGGAATATAATTCGAGTGTCGGCGCACGTTTCCATGATGATTTTATTTCGGCAACTAATTGGACCATTTATCAGACGACTTCTTTTTCTGCTTTAGAATGTGGTGAAATTAAGGAAATTGATGGAACGGGTGAATTGACGATTTGTTAACATGTTGAGTGCCGTGGGGGTTACCGGTGACCCCCGACCAAATGGAATTACTATAGTTCACTCAATTAACCCTTTGCACTCGGAAGTTTCTCACTAGAAATATTTAACAGTTTTTTGACGAAGACTATTTTGTTGCAATATTTCACGTATCGGGGCATTATACAATGTTAATTATCAGATTTTATAGTTTTAATGCATCGAGTGACTGAGAGTCACCTCCCGAGTGCAAGGGGTTAAACGATGATCATTTGAAAACATTTCTATATTATGTACAATGCTATCTAATGCGATAAGATTCAGCTAGATGAACGTGTAATAATAATTATGCAATTGAATCGAATTCAAAATTTAATTTTTCCATTTCATATATTTTGCTCTATGAAACCGTGCGACATTCAATATGTTAATGGGCAAGAAGATATTTGGATCTTATTTTGTTATTATATTAATGATAGTGGATAAAATGAAATGAATAATTTTATTTTTATAATTACTCCATTTTATGGAATAATGAGAATAATGTGGACATAGCTTATTGACTATCAGTAACATTGTCAGTACTGTATTTGCTAACATTTCTCCAGATTTTTTGTACACTATTATTATAAAATATTATTATCTAATAATTCGTATACAATAATATATTTTTAAAAAATCAAAGCAGCAAGACTGATTTCACGGTAACGAACTTAACTCCCCCAATTTCAAAGGAAACAGCTCCCCAATCATCAATTTCATGGAAACAGCAATTCTTTCCACAATTTGCCCGCAGTGTAGCGTTGAAAAGGGAGTGGGACGGAATAATCTGGAAAATGAAACCGCAGATTAAGCGCGTGCGTGTGCACGCGCGCGCGCGCGCCACAGGAAGTCAGTCTTCTTTCCGGCCGGATTCTCCCCAATTTTCTTGCCTGGGACGGAGAGATTGCTTGTACGGAATTTAATTGCGTGTCCCTCCGTCTTTTTTGGCCGGCGCCCAAACGATAAAACGTGAAAATCGTTGGTCCACCTGGAAAAGCCACGAGTATTCGTTCGGAAAATCAGGTGATTCGACGTAAAATGAAAAATTTGTCGACTTTACTCGAATTTCAACCAATATACCAGCGGCTTACAATCTTTATGTCACTACGCCACCCTAAAAAATTTTTTCCCGTGTCTCCCTATCTTTTAACGCTTTGTACTCGGAAGTTCTTCATTAGAAATATTGTAACATTTTCTAATAAGATAGAGAGGATATTTTGTAAATAACTCGAAGAGAGATCATGCTTATTGAGGAACAACGCTATTTTATTTCAATATTTTTCAAATTAATGCATTGTACGGAGTATAATATTAAATGTAGTTTTATAATATTAATTATAAATATTATAAATTATATAATATATAATTATACAATATTTATAATATTAGTTACAGTTTTACTGTATGAAAACAAGTGTTGAGTCACCTCTGGAGTGCAAAGGGTCAATAGATATAATATATACACGTTTTAAATAATAACTTTATTACAAAATAAGCATTACTGCACTGAACTTGTATTGTTACGTTACGATACGAAGTTTATTTATTTGTAGATATTATGTTATGAATTTTTTATTAAATATTTTGGCGTCTCTCCTGGCAATAGTCCACGTCTACACCAAGGTTTTCGCGTTAACAGATTTTTTCCTTTTGCCGTTGGCAGATTGCGCTCCGTTCTTTTGCTTCGGTTTTCTCTTTTTCTTGTCAATAACGAATTTGCGAAATGAAAAGTGAGGCTTCGTCTCGAAGCTGCGCAACAATCTCGAACGCGAGCTATTATATCGTTTAGCCGATTTGCACTAACAGTTCGTATCCGCGCGCTAAGTAGGACTGCCTTGGGTTAGGAACAACGAAAGTCCAGTGTCCCGGTGCAGGATCTCGAGGAGTTGTTAATTTTAACGGATATGGTCGGTTAATGTAATCATTAGTAGTTTCACTTTCTCAAAAATGGTTGGATAATCGATGTACGAAATAAGATCTCGTTGCCATGTTTGTTGATAGAAGTGGTGTTTGTCAGTAACATTCAAGAAAGCAATATTAAAACATATACAAAATTCTTCAGAAATTTGTACGAAAATCTGTTCAAGATTTTTCGAAAAAATTGTTCGGAATTCTTCA